ATGTGCTTGTATGTTTTTGTTGTAACTGGTGTAGCTTTGAGTTCGAGTATGTAAACCAACCAGATTCGCTCTTTTGAAAAGATCTTTAGTTTTAGTAGAGGTTTTTACGGCGCTCGCATCTGCCAACGGTCATATGAGCGCCAAGGGGTGGATGTCAACAGAGAAGTCCTTACAGGGAATCCGACTTACTCTGCTCACCTCTTAAGCCTCAACAGCACAAAGTCTGCTTCGACTATCAAGGCACCCCGGAAATAGCAAGTCACACGAGTGTGATAAACAAACAAAAGAAGTAGAGGAAAAATGACGATAGGAAGGATTAGGAAAGAAAAAGTTGCAGTTCAGGCTCAGTTATGAGCATGACATTGATGAATCAGCCCATTTACAATTACAATTCTACTGAGCTTAAGAACTCGAGATGTTAATGCCCCCCCCCCTCCTTTGAGAATGGCCTAAAGACACTTCAGTCCGTAGCACCGCCCGGGGGGGGGGGGGGTGAAGAGATCTGATGCCAGCGTCGGTGGTGCAGCGGTTAGGTTCAGCTGTCCGCTGTCGCATGCAGGAGACCCGAAGTCAAATCCCGAGTGAGGCGAAATTTGGTCGAGTGTCTCGCTGTCTTTCTCCTTGGTGGATGTCGTTGTATCCCTCTCAGTCCGGTTTGGCCCTGACAGTAGTGACAGGCAGGGTTGGGAGCCAGCCTCCTTAATAAGTGATCTAAATTGCGTCGCCAGAGGGGCAGACCCAGACTGACCCGGAGACGCACAGCACAGTCTGAAGTGAAGTCCTGGAACCATTCGTGGGGGACGTTGACCAAGATGGCCTAAAACAGACAGAGCTGGAGATCCTTTGTTGCTGCCCTAAACCCCAGATGGCGTAACAGGTCAGATGAACGGTGAATGTTGATGAGGGCGTAGAAACACCAACATTAACACTATAGGGACATATCGGACACATTTGTCCGACCAGAAACAGATCAAAGCCAATTTTGTGGCTCATTTTGAACCTACATTTACACAAACCAGGAACACGAGATTGAACATTTCATAATAATAATGTGCATCCTGGGGTGTTTTTTTTATACTTTTTAGGGCTCAGAAAAAAACGAAATAATATATTGGCTCTAAAAAAAAGTAAATATTATATTGGGGAAAATCTATATGGATAACGAAGTTAAGCTTCTTCAAACGTTCGAAAAACCAGAATTTGTATCTTCAAAGGGTTAATTAGAGATCTGACGTCATGTGAGGGTACACCTGTACAGTATAGCGTCTGGGGAGGAATGGTGAGGCTCTTCGTTGTCGATCACAGAAGAACAGGGTCATTCACAGAAGAACAGGGGTCGATCACAGAAGTACAGGGGTCATTCGCAGAAGAACAGGGGTCGATTCTCGTGCGGGCACGTGGATGCTATGACGTTATACATGTGTCCTTTTTTTCGCTTTTTAGTTTTAGTAAGAGTTTTACGGCACTTGCAACAAAATAAGGTCATAAGTGTACTGAAGATTAGAGGTGTTACAAGAGAGTAACAAACACAAAAAAGGAGGGGAGATAAAGACGATAGATGTTTGATAGGAAAGAAGAAACAAACCACACTAGAGCCCCCGCCAACCACCCACTATCTCGGCGTATTGCGGTGCTCTTTAAAAATGGGGAGTAACCATTACAAAGAAAGAAATCCGTATATATAGAGTACATATTATACTGTTTGTCTTACTTTCCTCCTTCTTTTAGTTCTAATAAGAATTTACGGCACTTGCAACACAAAAAGGTCATATACGTGCCGAAGATTAGAGGTGTTACAAGAGAGTAACAAACACAAAACAGAAGGAGGGGAGATAAAGACGATAGATGCTCGATAGGAAAGAAGAAGCAAACCACACCATAGCACCCGCCAAGGGAAGTAACATTACAACAACAAAAACTGTATATAGTTTACTGTATATCTTTTCCCCCTTCACAAAATGACCGTAACCGTTGGGATAACTATCCCCTGCAATGTCCAAATGGAAAAAAACACACACACACAAAAACGAAACAAAAAATAAAAAAACAAAAAAGAAGAAAGGAAATAAAAAATTAGCTGGCTCTTCCTTAAAACCCAACTGCTGAGGAAAAAAAACGCAAACAAAAGCAACATTATTTCATAATTTGTATTTAAGACAACATGTTTCAGCAATTGTATTCATTATAACAAAACATGCAGACTCATGAAAAGTTCACATCTGAGTACTATGTTACAAATAGTATATATATTTATTCGATTTCCAAGACGCGATAGAAGGAAGACTTTACCACAAAAATTGATTAATAAAATCTCGACAGAAGGTCTGACACTACTTGTACTAGAATTAACTTTATTTGCACTGTTGACACTTAACTACTTGTACAAGAATTAACTTTATTCGCACTGTTGACACTTAACTACGTGTGCAAGAATTAACTTTATTCGAACAGTTGACAACGTTACTTGTACAAGAATTAACTTTATTTGCACTGTTGACACTAGACACTGCTTGTACAAGAATTAACTTTTTTTGCACTGTTAACACTACTTGTACAAGAATTAACTTTATTCGCACTGTTAACACTAGACACTACTTGTACAAGAATTAACTTTATTCGCCCTGTTGACACTACTTGTACAAGAATTAACTTTATTCGCACTGTTAACACTAGACACTACTTGTACAAGAATTAACTTTATTCGCCCTGTTGACACTATTTGTACAAGAATTAACTTTATTCGCACTGTTGACAAGTGCAGTTTTTGCTTTATCATCAAAACTTGTGGTTATTGATCTCCATTTTGCCAGCGTTGGGAGAAAGTTCACTATATTAATGCTGGTGACAGGAGTCACACGAATGAGAGAGTACTTGGTCGCAAAGGGAGGACTCTCTACTTGTATGTAATGATCATGACGGTGGTACAAAAAAACAATTTAAAAAAACATATGTGAGGCGTGCAGACAAAATGAGTTACTTCTTGCAATCCACAAATGGAGATATTGGCCAAAAATCAACCCTAGGGTCAGATTAATAGATTTTCTATTGGTGCAATAATATTCTTTAAAGACTATAACATGCATTATTTCATACTTATTAATTGTAAAAGCTTAACCTAAAAGCGTGATTATCTATTTCCACAGGGCTCAAATCCGAGAAGCAACTCATTTTGTCAGCACACTTCACATATGCAGTGGTGAAAATGGGAATGACTCTTACGATCATTCTTTATGAAGCGAAAAAAGGCAAGCCAAAAGGCCTGCTATGAATAATCATTGTGATATATATATATATTATATATGTATACAAATTTGCAAATGATAAAAAAATGTCTTCCCCATCATAAAAGGCATTGTTACAACAGTGGTCAAGACACTGAGAATGGTACAGAATCTTGATCTTGCGCGATACAACAGTAAGGGCACTTAAGGGTTGAGAACTGTGCACAGACTCATAAGAACCCTATTGATCTGAAAGACAATTTGCAATAGGACAGAGGCATGAACATGAGACAAAGAAGCTTACAAAAAGAATTTCAACTGAAAGTTGTAAAGACCGGTTATGGATGAAAACCAGTCTCTGTGCTGTTGTTGTTGTTGTTGTTGTTGTTGTTGTTGTTGTTGTTGTTGTTGTTGTTATAG